AAAGGAGAGGGAGGAGAAGCGGAGACAGGAGAAAGGGAGAGAGGGAGGAAGAGGAAGCAGAGACAATGACCAGGAGAGAGAGAGGAGTAGGGGGAACGGACAAGGAGGAGACGGAAGAACGGAGAGAGCGGAAGAAAAGGAAGAGAGAGAGAGAGAGAGAAAGACAAGGAGCAGGAGAGGAAGAGGAAAGGAAGGAGAAGAAGAGAGAGGAGAGTGAGAGAATAGGAGAAAGAAAAGGCGAAGGAGGAAAGGAGGAAATGCGCAGCGGAGAGTGAGAAGGAGAGAGGAGGCGACAGGAATGGAAGGAGAGAGAGGAGGAAGGGAGGGGACCGGAGAAGGAGGTAGGAAAATCAAGGAGCGATACCGAAGGAGAAGAGGAAGAAAGACGGAAGAGACGGGCTGGGAGAGATCGGAGGTGGATAGGGGGGAAAGGGAAGGGAGGAGAAACGGAGAAGAGGTCAGTGAGTAAAGCAAAGTATATTAATCTTGAATTTGGTTATAGGGAGGAGGAAGGAGCTGGAGGTGAAGAAAAGAGGAAGCAAAAGAGAAAGGTGGAGCAAAAAGGAAGGAAAGCAAGAGAGGACGGCAGGTAGAAACAGGAAGGAAAAGGGAAACCAGGAAGGAGGGAGAGAAGAAGGATGACGGAAGAAGGACAGAGAGGAAGAAAGAAAGAGAAACGGAAGAGGGAGGGGTAAGGATAGGGGGTGGGACGAAGGGAGGGTGGGATAAATAGTATGTAAAGGTCGCCCATGGCCAGGTCGCGGAAAGGGGAACGGAATGGAAGTGTAAAGGGTTCGGGAACGCTCCCTGAAAAAGCGCCAATGTACTTCTCAGCAGAGAATAAAGCTACATACATACATACATACTACAGTATTTTATAATTATAATTATAAAATATATAATTTTATATAATTATAATAATAAAATATATAAAAATATAATTATAATTATAAAATATAAATTATAAAATAATTTATATTTTAAAAATGAAGGGAAAGGGCCCCATCCCCGCCCTTTCCTGTGAGGCACAACCAAACAGTTTGCCCCTCCATACTTCCCCCTGAAACAGAAAATACATGAATTAGGGGTGAGAATGGCCCCTCCCCGCCATTCTCTGTGAAGCACGTCCAAATTTTATACTGCTTCTCCAAGGTACAAAAAATATTAAACTTACCAATGGTTTAGTGATAGAACTTACTAATAGTCTGGTGGACTGCTGAAAAGAACTATGTCACCAGTCTCGCTGTATAGATCTAGAATTATTTGATTTCATTATAAAAACTAGTAATTTGTGGATTTCTATAAAAATTTTATCCATTTTATCTATTACAAATTAAATAATTTTGTTTTTTTATTTAAGAATAAAATAAGAAAAAATTAACTTATATTATATATTATTATTTATTATTCTTTATATTATATATTTAAAACACTTTTAACCTTATAACTTTAACTTTTTCTCTATTAATTAATCATTTTATTAATTTAAATTTAATAAATTTTTTAAATTGATATATAATTATTATAAATTATTATATTTCTTTATTTACCATCCTCCATGAAATTTTCCTGCTCTCTCAATGGCACTGGCAGATCTTTGTTCTGTACCGTCTTCTCCAGGGTATAGTTGTCATCCAAGTTGTCCTCGGTTTCGTCGGGGTACTCAGCTTCATCCATGTCCTTGATGTTGTCTTCTATTTCATCCGTGTTCTGCGTATATGTTTCCTCAACGTTTTCAAATTCCTCCATGCACTGGCTTTCCTCTGGTACGTTGACATCGTCAGCTTCCTCTTGGGTGTCCTCGCTGTCATCCTCGGACTCATCCATGCGCTGAGTGGACATTTCATCGGCATTTTCAGCCCTCTCCGTGTACTGGGACTCTTCTGGTTCGTTGGCATTGTCAGCTTCCTCTTGGGTGTTCTCGAATTCCATGTCATCTTTCCGAGTATCCATTCGTCGGCGTCGATTTAGTGGGAATTCTTCATTTTCTTTGTGAAGAGAGGGTTGTCGTTTTCTGTTGTAACGCCATTTTCTCGTTTTAAGGCTTTTTAGAGCTTTCTCTAAAGCTTCATAAAATTCGACGTTGTTGGGGTTGGGGAAATGTTTGTTGACATTTATGGCGTCTGAAAAAATTTATGAAATATACTCTAGTTATATTATCATACATGTATTCAATGTAGAATATAAACACTAATGGACGATATTTTTTACCTTGACATGTTTGAGCGAAACGACTGTCTCTCAATTTACATCCCCCTGGTCCACTTCTTCCATTTAAAGTGAGATATGGTGAAACCTCCTCATCTTCGGGAAATACGCTGCGAAAATTTCTGCAGCGCAGTCAACTGGATTGGCTCGTCCAAGATAAACGAAGTATCCCACCTGTAACAAAATTTTTGTAGTAAATCTGATTTACTGTAAATATGTATTTAAAAAATTATCATATCTCTTTTACTAAATTATTATAAATTTCTTCGTTAACTTCTTCAAAGGCCAAGAAATCATCTACGGTTCTAAACAAAATCCCCTGTGGCTTCACTGGTCTGCTTACTACAGATTTTTGCATTAGCTGTTTAATGGCTTTCGCATTTTTACTGTAAAAAATGAAATTATAAAATTAAAAATTAATTTATAATAAGTTGCTTGCTGTTCTTTAATCAAATCATTAATACTTACTCTATTTTATCTTCAATAGAAATTTGTCGCTCTTCCATACGACGTAGTTGTGCCATGATCATTCTGAAATTAAATTTATATCCTTCGTGCACACAGATGATTATCTTTGTTGTAATCATTTATTAAACTTACTTTACATATCGCGTTATATCACAAGATGTTTTCTCGTCGTTTGTCCACTCTTCATGG